GGATCACGGTGTCCCTAGTCACACAAAGAGACTTGTCTCCTCGTCAGCTAGTTTCCCCTCTGCTGGTAGACCCTTATGCAGGTCGAAAGTTGCCTGGAGGGTGTGACTTCTGTTGACAAGGCTTTGTTCAGCTGCGGAGGAGTGGTGGCTCCTCCAGCTATCTGAGCCATCTCTGAGGTCTGACGGAGAAGGAAGATTGGCTAATAAAATGGCCAATCACCCAGCTGCTTCAAACCGCAAGTCAAGCAACATCTAAGCATTGAGAACCACCGTGGTGAATCAGGATGAGACTTTTTTTGGTTCCTCTCTTTAATCTATTTTGCTTCTTTTTTGCCTGTAAGAGTTTTGTTGGAACTATTTTCCTGTTTTGAAAAAGCAGCTTCTATATTTTTGGGAAGAAAGGCATTGAACAAAGGAATAGAATAAAATTTTAGAGACTATATCTTATTTTCATCTGTTTTGGGGTACAGAAAAAACTTTTTTTAAGAGCTGTACTATTACTTTATGCTTGAAGATTATTTCTTTTTTCACATCATATTTCAAATGATAGGGGAAAAAAGGGCAAAAAAATGGTGTCTGGAAAAGATTTTTTTAATCTTTTGATCGTTGAGGACATTTACTGGCAAAAACCTAATATTGCAATATCTGGCTATTCTTTGGAGGAATAGACCCGACCTTCAAATTTTTTCAAGAGAAAAGGTAAACTAATGTAGCAGTAGGAATTGTGAGGGTGGATATTGCTCAACTTTTATTAAATACAGCCTCCACAAAAAAAAAGGAAAAAAGAGACTCTCTTATATTACTATCAATATGGAGAAAGCTCAGTTACAATTAAACTGCAAACTTATATTGGAAAAGATTTATGAGGCTACTGCAGAAATATGTGCTACAATAAAAGAATTTACTACAGAATTAAGAACCAGAAGTTCCATTTCAAATCTTCAAACTGATCTCCAGACTATATCTGAGCATTCTACAAATCAAAACTTACTAGAAGAGGAAACAACTGAGATAAAAGAGACTTTACCTTATAAACATGTCATTTATATTTTTGAGGACCAGAAGAACCAAAGATTAAGACTTGAAACTTTACAACAACGAAGCTTTAAGGATGAGAGAAACAGAGGCCTGATACAGAGGATGGGATTCCTATCGCTTCAAAGGGCACTACAAGCAATAAAGAGAGATTTATCGGTTGAAAGGGAAGCTTGGTTATGGAAACCTGCCTGGCATAGAAAGAAGGCCAGAATAAGACTGAAAATAGAAATTTAAAATGATGTGTAATGGATTAAAAGGCACTGTTGATTTATGGACTGTTTTAAGGACTAAGATTCAGATTTAGAAATAAGGGGGAAAAATAAGGGGGTGATTATTAGAATAGATATCTTAAAATAGATTAAGAATGTAATTGGTGGAATAATAGGTTTATTTTGATGAAAATTATTATGTATTGGAATGGGAAAAATGGTGGTTTTTTAAATCTGGATTGTTTTAATAATCAATTGAGTGTTTTAAATTAGTGGATGATGTTTTTGTATGATAATATAGATGTGGTAAGGCATAATAACCAATTGGATGAAATATGAAATTTGCTTAACGAACTGAAATGATTTAAAGCTTAATATTATTTTGTCACTTTAATTATATAATGGATTAAAGGTAGTCTAGAAAATTAAGAATGTATTTTTTAGAATGATAGGTTTATTTGTATGAAAATTATTATGTAATGGAATAAAGAAAATTGAAGAAATGTTTTAGATTTGGATTGAATTAATAATTAATTGAGTTAATTCAACAAGATGATGTGTTTGTTTGATGACATGGATATTAGTAGTTATGATAATTAACTGGATGTAATTTGAAGTTTGTCTAATGGATTGGAATGATTTAAGGCAGTGGTTCTTAACCTGATCGATATCATCCCCCAAGGGGTGATTTCATTTTTCAGGGGGGCAATGGAACAAAAAGGGGCGACATGGGGGCAAAGGAACAATATGGGGGTGATGGAGCAAGACGTTTTGGGGACACTTTTGAGACCTTTTCATACAGTGAATCACTGTATATCTGTCGTACAAAAACATTAGATCGCTCGTTATTAGTGGATTGAATTGTGTTTTCAAATGTTCCTCTAGCTAGCTTCAGTACAGAATGCCATACATACGCATTGCTTATCTTCATGCGTGTTGCGCAGCAGCCTCTACTCTTTTTATATTTCTTTTTGCATCTTAAATTTCACTTGTAATTCAATCAATAAATGTTACTGTTTTTCTTTTCGGGCATTTCACTTTCTTGCAATTGAACGGGTGGCACCAAAATTTTTCACAGTTGAGATATGGGAAAAAGACTGGAAATAAATTATTTGCATCGATATGTCCTGATGACGATTTTAAAGAAAACAAAACAAGTGTTTGCATAAATTGAAGAATTATTTTGTATGTTGTGATTGAGAGGTTATGTTGGGGGAGGGGCGATGATAACTTCCTCATTGGCTCAAGGGAGTGATTCGTTCAAAAAGGTTAAGAACCACTGATTTAAGGTTTGACATTCTGTCAGCTTAAAGAGATTGATTAATTGATGGATTAGATATGTATAGGATAGATCAATATTTTATTTTAAATAGGGGATATTATTGGAAGAAGAAATAAATAAGATGTATGTTAAAATTCAGGAACTAGAATATATTTGGAAGGGAAACCTGAATTGATAATGTTTTTATTTATAGTTAATTTGGTTACGGTATTTTAAATTCATAAAGCTTTGAAACAGGTTCAGGTTAAATAAATTTAAGCTAGAATTGGATTATTTTAAATACACTATGCTATTTGAGGGAAAAAGAAAGGGAATATTTGATGTATTGATTGTACTATGTATATATGTTTTGTTTTGGGATGTTTGATTACCCCCCCACCACCACCATGATGTGTCCTGAGTACTTTGTTTTCAGAATTTAAAAACCCAATAAAATTTGTTTGTTTGTTTTTTAAAAAGACTGTGCATACTCTGACAGATTATAGGCCCAGAGTGAAGAGAAACGCAGTGAGAGCTTGACCCAGAGGAGTTAAGGCTTGTGGTTTGTGGTGGTTTAAAGTAGGGCTTTTCAACCTTTTCACCCATTTTTAGGATATGACAATATCCGAATATCACCAGTGATCTAGCAAGGTGTAAAAAACTTGACGACCAAAAAAAAGGAAAAAAGTGATAAAGTACAGGTAGTCCTCAACTTACAACAGTTCGTTTAATGACTGTTCAAAGTTACAATGGCACTGAAAAAAGAGCCCCCCAAGCCACAGCCGAGCAAGACACCTGCCTGCCCACCCAGCAGCATTCTTCCTCCTGTTCAAGGTTTTCATTGTTGTGAGAATTTCTGTTGGGGATTGGCAGCAGAGGTCAGGTGGGGGGATTTGGTTTTTATTCCACCCGTCCGCTGGGTTGTTGCAGCAGGTTTTGGTCACTTCACACTGTGACCATCATAAATTTGAATCAGTTGCCAAGCATTTGAATGTAAATTACAAGACCCTGGAGATGCTGCAACATTCCAGCTGATCGGTGCTTCTTCTGGGCTCAGCAGAAGTGCCAGGATCAGCGCCGAGCTCCAGCTGGAGCCTGGCCTGATCTTGGTGATTCCACTGAGCCCTGACAGCCCCAAAGTGCTGATCAGCTAGAAAGCAGCACTGATCCTGGTGCTTCCACTGAGCTCTGACAGCCCTGCAGCTCCAGCCGTCTCTCGCTCAGGCTTGTGCGGTGCTGCCACCGGTTCAGCTCATTCCCCTCCCCCACTACCACTTTTCTAGGATGGTCACATACCACCTGCCAGGTGCCAATGTACCACAGGTGGTACCCGTACCACTGGTTGAAAATCCCTGGTTTAAAGAAGCAAGCAAGACTTCCAGTTTGCCATTGCGGCCACCGCGGACACTGGAAGGCGAGCTCCATTTTCCACATTCAGTTTCATTCCACAGGGGTGACAAGCAAGGAGGGGACCCCCACTTGATTGCAGGAGAGCAGTAGCCCTTCCACTCAATCCATGGTAGCCCTCCAAACTGGCGGATGAAAGATAAGCATAGAAATATGGCTCATCACTAGACTGCAGACAGCCGAAGTCAAACTTACCACTTCTAAAGCAGTGCGGATGAGACTGGGTGAGATCTGAACCTCTCTTCAATCCCAAGTATTTTCTTTTCCTGTAAAAGCTGCCCAAAGCATCTCCCCCCTGTGAGAGGGAAGGGAACTTCTATCCCATCTCTAGGAATAGCGGCGACTGACTGTCCAGGGGAGTTAAAACACTGAAAGAATAACCTTAATCTAACTGGATTTATATGCTTTTAAAATTTGGGAACCAAAAGATTTCTTATCTTTACAGAAGACTTTGGTTTTTATTTACAAAAAAGAAATAAAATTGGAAAAATAATTATAAAAATTTTGAAGTTAAGAAACCTTAAATGGTATTGGTGACATCTTGTGGCCAGGTTTGATATTTCTACTTGTTATTGTCTAAAGCAGTGTTTCCCAAAGTGTGGTACGCGTACCCCCAGGGGTACGGGAAGAGTTTGGTGGGGGTACGCGTTGCACCAGAGTTTAGTGGGGATCACGTGGGAATATCCATTGCACCGTGCTTAGCTGCGCCCACAGAACAAAGAAAGAAATAGGCGTGTATCGCAGTTTTTACACGGGAACTGGGGCCATCATACATCGTATCGCAACTCATTATGACGGGAACTTCTGCGCATCCTTCGCGCAGCTCTGGTTCGGCCATTTTTAAACTGCGGGAACATTAACAGTTAACGTTGAGCCTTGGAGCTGTTTAAAAGCCGGAGAATTGCAGTGTTATCAACGGTTAGACAGTCTTGTGAGGCGTGACACGGCGTGAATATACTGCACTTCGTTATAGAGACAACTTATTTCTTTAATAGTTAGTTCCGGGCACCTGTTATTGTGCTTTAGTAAGTTCCACTGATTTTGATTATTTTTATAAAATACAGTTTTTATCCCTAACAGAGATTATGGATCGCTGGTTGAAATCTGGAACTACTAAACTGAAAGAAAGTAATGATTGTAATAGCTATCAACGAACAGGAAATAATGAAATTAACGACGAATCAATTTCAATTCTGAAAGAACCTGTTAAGAAAAAAGCAAGGAAAACACGCAAGTACAACAAAGAATATCTTAAATTTGGATTCTCATGGACTGGAGATGAAAATGAGCCTATTCCACTTTGTGTCATTTGTTTTGAAAATCTAACAAATGAAAGCATGAAACCATCCAACTTAAAGCACCATTTTGAGACAAACCATAATCAGTACAAAGATAAACCCATAGATTTTTTTGAAAATAAACTTAAGGGTTTAAATCAGTCTCAAAAAGTAATGCAGGGTTTGACGGGAGGTGACAATCAAAAAATACTAGAAGCTTCGTATCGTGTGTCTCTTTTAATTGCCAAATGTAGTGCAGCGGAAACCATTGGTGAAATTTTAATCAAGCCTGCAGCCAAGATAATGGCAGAAGTAATGATAGGAGATAGAGCGAAACAAACTTTTGACTGCGTTCCTCTCTCAAATAATACAGTTCATCGATGAATCATTGATATGTCTAATAATGTAAAACAGATGTTATTATCTGATATTTCTCAAAGTTGTTATTATGCATTGCAAGTCGATGAGTCCACCAACATTGCGAAATTTGCAAATCTTATGGCGTTTGTTAGATACGAAAAAAATCAAGAAATTCATGATGACTTTTTATTTTGCCAGCCTTTATTAGGTCACACAACAGGAGAAGATATCTTTAATGTTATGAATACATTTATGCAAGAGAACAAAATTGATTGGAATAGATGTGTTGGAATAAGCACAGATGGAGCAAAAAGTATGGTTGGAATTAATAAAGGACTCGTTGCAAGAATTCAAAATGTTGCTCCAAATGTCATATCCACACATTGTTGCATACACAGAGAGGCTTTGGCAACATGTAAGATGCCCGCTGATCTACAGAAAGTTCTGGATGAAAGAGTGAAAATCATTAACTACATTAAAAGCCGCCCTTTGAATGCACGACTTTTTTCGCAAATATGTGAAGAAATGGGAAGTAGTCATACCCAGCTGCTTTTTCATACCGATGTTCGTTGGCTATCTCGGGGAAAAATTCTAAACCGATTGTTCGAACTTAGACATGAACTTCAATGCTTTCTTAATAATAGATTTGAGTTGAGAAATTGTTTACATGACTGGAAATGGCTTTGTAAACTAGCATACTTAGCAGATATATTCTCTGCTTTAAATTGCCTCAACTTATCGTTACAAGGCAAAGAAATTTCATTGTTTCACGTTCAAGATAAAGTGAACGCTACCATCGCAAAACTAAATTTATGGCAAAAGAGAGTTGGTAATGGAGAAGTAGACTCGTTTCCCTCTCTTCATGAGTTTATAACAAGTTTGGCTACTAAAATTGAGGCTGATACTTTGAAATGCATAATACAGCAGTTGGAGAGTTTGCAAGTTGGCTTGAAAAACTATTTTCCTGATTTAAACGAAAATATTGAATGGATAAGATATCCATTCAACATCAACACAACATCCATGCCAGAAGGTTTGTCGCATGCGGAAGAAGAGCAATTGTTGGAGTTAGCTTCGGACGGATTCTTGAGAAATAAACATAAGGAGTGTACTTTAACATCATTCTGGTTACAAATGCAACATGTGTATCCGGTTTTAACAGAAAAAGTCCTGAAATACATCTTGCCTTTTCCAACTTCATATTTATGCGAAGTTGCTTTTTCTGCATTTGTAGACATTAAGTCGAAAAAAAGGAACAGACTATTGGATGTGGAACCGCATCTCAGATTAAAATTAACAACCAGGGAACCAAATTATGATGATCTGTCATCTCAACATAAACAATTTCATCCTTCTCATTGAATCAAATAAATGTTCTTTATAATATAACTTTCGTTTATTTTGTGTATGTACAAAAAAAGAAAAAATAAATATATTTTGATTTTTATTAAAGCATATGTTTTTTATGAGGGGTACTCAGCATTACAAAAATTATAGAAGGGGTACACATATGTCAAAAGTTTGGGAAACATTGGTCTAAAGGAGAGTTGACTTGTAGCCCAAACTATAGATAAGACTTTTACAACCTTGACAAATACCAGCTGTGAGAATCTCAGCTGTGTCCTATACCCAGTAATAAAATTATTTCCATTCTCTGACTTTAAAGTCCTCAACTTAACCCATCATCAAGAGAATATGGATGAAGACCAGGAATAGATTATATATATATATATATATATATATATATATATATATATATATATATATATATATATATAATATAATTCATTTTACATAAAAGTGCTTGAGAAACAATAAGTGATCAATTATCCAAGAACAAAATCATACATATATCAAACAGATTAATTCCTTAAAAGTTCCCTCTCTATTTCCCACATATTATTTTACCAATTAAAATTATTACATTTGTAAAAAAAAAAAGCTCAATCAATCCAATCAGTCATCAATCACATTTCAATTATAAGAATCCAAGTCCTGTTTTTAAGTTTTACTATTTTGAAAATTACCATATCCCAGTTGCTTATATAGACATATTAACACTTCAGGCATCCCTCATTTCTCTTTTCCCTATCATGATGATTCTAAGATAAATATATTAACCCAGAAAGCAACATCCTTACATTTTTTTAGATATAGCCTATTGCTTAAACTAATACATCATTTATTAATACTATTACTTCTCTTATCACAAATACCTCCTCTTCTTCCTCTATTACAAAATAGTTGTCTTGGTTAAAATAAAGATATCAGTCTAAAAAAACTACATTTCTGTCTATTTTAAATATATATTCTATCAATCAATTAAGTAAAATTTATCCCTCCAATTACTTGTCATCTCTAATGCCAAATATTGTTACAGAAAATATCCTTTTACAAAATCACCTGTTTCATTTGTTATTAAAACAAATCCAAGTGTCAACAACCTTTTTAACCCATTCAGTAGAATTTTAAGCCACATTTTTAAACCTAAATCTAGCTTTCTTTCTATGCCAAACCAATTTCCATAATAAAGCCTTTGTATCATCAAACCTCAGCATTTGAGTAAAGCTATTTCTCAATACATCAAAATAGTCAAAGTTCTCTTCTCCTTCTTCCTATGTCATCTGAATAGTATAGTCAATTTTATTTCTTATTGTAGTTGCTAGTTGATTGTCCACATTATCACAATTTTCAATAACTTGTACCTGAATGTCAAGCTCTGTTATTTTTGGGAGATCAAATAGCTCAGTTAATGTTATTCTTTGATCATCAATGTTCTCCATAGGTCGCAAATAGAATTGTGTAGAATTAATTTGCTCAGTAGTTTCTACTGTAAGTTCATAGTTAAATTGTAAGTGCAGTTCCTCTGTCTCGTTCAGTTGTATATCTTGTTGAGTAGGAACCTCTCCAGGGTTACTCTATTCTTCCTCCATTATTCTTTGGTCTGTAGTTTGAACTGATGATTGAAAGTCAATTTGTGGTTCTCTAGTATCATCTTTGATTTTTCTCCAAGATTTGATATAAGCTTTCATATAGTTTGTAGTTTCCAAAATCTTTTCCAATATAAGTTCATAGTCAAGCTGTGGATAAGATTCCTCCATTTCAATAGTGAAATAGTCTTTGATCAAGAATAGTATTTGATCTTTTAGTGGAGGCTATATTTCAAAAAGGTTAACAAATATCCACCTCCAAAATTCTAATAAGCAAATTCACCACAGCTGTTGCAAATCTTTTATCTTTTCTGTTTTGTTGTCATTTGAAGGTCAAATTCATCTTCAAATAGCAAAAGAAAATACAGTTGCAATGGCACTTTTCGCCATAAGATATCCTCAGTGGACTGTAAACTCTTTCTTCCAAATAGGTAAAAATTTATCTCTTTCAGGAAACAGAAAAAGCAAAAGCAAGTATCTCCGGTATAATAGATAAAGTAAAAACTATAGCATTTATTTTTTATTTTTTTCAGGGCCCCTAGGTATCCAAAGAGAAAAATCAAGTAGTCAATAAAACTTTAACTATTTTAGTTCTTTTAAAACTCTTTTTCCCAAGTAGACAGATGCTGCTCTCTTAAGACTGGGAAGTGATCAAAAACTTTTTACAGGCAAGAGGCAAAAGAGCAAAGAGACATGAGAATGATGAGATCAGCTAAAATCTTAAATAAATAATCATGGAAGAAGAGATAAAAATAATTTCGATAAATATAAATGGATTAAACTCGACCATAAAAAGGGAAAGAACACTAAATAAACTGGAGAAACTAAAAATGGACATAATTTGTTTATAAGAAGTTCATATTAGGAAACAACATAAAAATTTATTAGAATATCCAAAATTGGGAGAATTATACACCTCACTTGCGGACCAGAGTAAAAAAGGTGTGGTATTATATAGTCAGAAAACAATACAAACTAAATTGATATATTCAGACGAAGAAGGACGAATCTTAATGGTGGAAGTAATTATGAACTGTAAAAAATCATTATTGGTAGCGATTTATGCTCCAAATGAAAATCAAGAGAATTTTTATCTAAAATTACATAAGAAAATAATAGAACTGGAATATGAAAGCATATGCATGATTGGAGATTTTAATGCTATTGTAAAGCCTGAGTTGGATTATAATACAACAAAAAAATATGACTCTAAGAAGAACACTTCCTAAATCCTTCTATAATATGGTGGATGAATTAAATATACTAGATGCTTGAAGAGAGAAATATCCGGAAAAGAAGCAATATACGTTCTATTCTAACAGACATCTGTCCTGGTCAAGAATTGATATGACATGGATATCAACAGATTTATTTACAAATATACAAAATATAGCCATAGAAACAAGCACATGGGCGGACCACAACCCAGTTACAATCATATGGAAAGGACAAAAAAAGAGAACAAAATGGACATTAAACCAAACTATATTGAATGAAAACGATTTTCAGCAATATATGAAAAAAGAAGTACTTTTCTTTTTTAAGGAAAACAAAAAAGAAGATACTTCAGTTCAAAATGTTTGGGATACGGCGAAAGCATATATGAGAAGACTTGCTATGACTTATTTGGGGAAAAAGAACAAACAGAAAAGACAAAATAAGGGAAAACTGGAGGAAGAATATAAGACACTTGAGAAAGAATTACAGAAAGATACACAAAACAAAAAGATTAAAAATTTAATGGAACTGAACAAACATAAAATGAACTTACTAGAAAATGAAGAAGTGGCAATGAAAATAAAGGCAGCTAAGCAAACCTTTTTTGAGCATGCAAACAAACCAGGGAGATGGTTGACATATAAAATTAAAAAGGAGAAAGAGAAGAGATGGATTAAACAATTGGAAGATGCTGAGGGGATTTTACAACATGAAAATGAAGAAAAGAAAAAAATAATCTGGGAATATTATGAGAACTTATACAAGCAACAAACAGTTTCAGATGATAGGATAAAACATTTTTTTGGAAGAAACAGAGATACCTAAAATGCCGGAGAAATTTAAAAAGCTATTAGAAGGGGAAATAACAATGATGGAATTAATAGAAGCAATCAACAGACAAAAAATGGTAAAACACCAGGACCAGATGGACTACCAGCAGAGCTATATAAGACATTGCAGGAAGACTTCCAGTGACGCTGGCCACGCCGATGGTGGCTATCTTTTAGCTGTCTGTCTGAGAAAGTGTCAAAACTGCGGAGACAGCAGATAACAGCTGATCCGTGGTTCGGACCTTCTCTCCCCAGGCATAAGGGAGGAGGTGAGCTTTCCTTGGATAGTGGTAGAGCTCCCCAGGACCCTAAAATTTATCTTTGTGGGTCGGAGGGTGAGCTCCCACGGAGTCCGAGGCTTCTCCACATCTCAGATGTCTTTGTTCTTTTTTTTTTTTTTTGGACAAAGCAAGACATTGCTTTCCACATCTGTGCTTAAAGTGAACTTGTAAGTAAATTTCAAAGCATACAGAGCTGACCAGGAGCATTTATAATTTGTATCTACTTTGGAACTTTAACTCTGGAAAAGAATTAATCTTCTCCTTTTTTATTATAAAAGAAGTTAAAATGGTGCTGGGGTGTTTTTTTTTTCTGTGAGCGAATGTGAAGAAAGAACTTTCACTTGGTTACATTTCGCTACAGAGTTTGAATAATGTAATGGATTTTGGTTATTGATACAAAAGACAAGTTTTTTTAGTTCTTGTTTTTTTAAGGGTTTTTTTCTTTTCCCTTTTTTTGAGATATTAAGAAGAAGTTTTACAAATTAAAATGGCTTCGAAGCGTTTCGCAACTTCTGCTGTGCCTAAAGTTTCGATCTCCTCCCCGGTTGTACAGACTGTTCAACAAGTTAAGCCTCGGACACCACCACCTTCTCCACCACCAGTAGCACTTACGGCAAAAGACTTACAAGATGCTTTGGGAAAAGGAGTTTGTCAGATTAGAACAGAAATGGAGGAATTAAATAGGGAAATGAGGGAGGATATAGTACTAGCTTTGCAAGGACTTGCCTCCCATGTTGAGAGGTTGGATGATCACATTGATGATGTTGTGGAGAAAGTTGAAGGTCTGGAAGATCGGGTTGGTAAAGTGGAAAATAAGGTGGAAATGTCACAGGATGAAATTATTATGTCTCAATATAGAGAAATGGAATTTGTTATAAGAATCAGAGGCTTGAAGGAAAACATGCAAGAAGATTTGAGAGAGCTGGTGGCAAAGGATATAGCTTTGATGTTGGGGTGTGAACCTGAAGAAATATTGAGAGATATAGAAAAAAATATGTAGAGTTAATTCATGGGTTGTAAAGCAGAGAAACTTACCAAGAGATGTGGTGATTTATTTTGCAAGGAGATCTATTTGTAATGAAATCATACAAGCGTTTTATAAG